CGTCTTCAAGTTGTTTTCCAGCAAAAATCAATCTTTGCTGATCTGGTGGAATGCCTTCTTTATCCTGAATCTTGGCTTTGACATTCTCAATGGTATCTGAAGCTTCAACCTCTAAGGTAATAGTCTTCCCTGTTAGAGTTTTGACAAAAATTTGCATGCCTCCTCTTAAACGAAGTACAAGATGTAAAGTTGACTCCTTTTGAATATTATAGTCGGAAAGTGTGCGTCCGTCTTCTAATTGCTTTCCAGCAAAGATCAATCTCTGTTGATCTGGAGGAATTCCTTCTTTGTCTTGGATTTTTGCTTTAACGTTTTCAATCGTATCGGATGCTTCAACCTCCAGGGTTATCGTTTTACCTGTCAATGTTTTGACGAAGATCTGCATGATTATCTGTTAAAAAAATAAAATAATTTACGTAATTAATTGGCTGATGCAATATGCATATTTATTAACAAAATAATACGCTATGTGTTGAAATTGAGAATTATTTCTGTATATTATTTACTTATTTTTTTGTATTATTTATTAATATAACAATGAAGTGCATAACGTCACCAGACGTTATCGTTCTGGAAAATCAATAATCGCCATTTTGTCTTCTGTTACTACGCAGCAAAAGCGTTGACTAACGTTCTTAAAAATGTTGAATTTTACTTAACAACCAATTAGCTAAATAAAAATTTTACTATTGCAGGCTTCCGATGCAATATATGCTTTAAATATATATATATAAAAAGTATGACCTTTCGAAATTCTTTTATAAATGAACTTGAAATTTTACTTCTGTGATTGACATTGATTCAAGACTTATATTAGTTTTGCCAAAAGAACGTATTTAACGACTCAAATACTCATAATTACGTACAAAATTGGAACGAAAGAGAAATAGAAATAAAATAATTCTATAATCCAATAATGAGTTAATTCAAAACTCAGGCATTACCTATTTATATTGGAAAAATTCAAAATAGAGATAATTAATCCATTTTATGAAAATTCTTATTAAATTACCTTCCTTGGATGATTTATGACACAGCAGAAATTTCAATTAATATTCAAGAAGTCTTAAGCTCTTCCTAACGACACTCTGAATACGTTGCAGTATAACTGAATTGAGTAGAGAGTAAGCGTTCCTTTTATGGCAGGGACAGTGAGTCTTACTGATCATGCGCAAACATGTCAGACGATTTGTAGGAAGATGCTTATTGGATTATATTCCGTTAACATCAATGACGTTGCTTTGCCCAATTGGTTTCAGAGACAAAGGCTATTCTTGTGCTAAATTTTATCGATACCTACAGCACATTATTACTTTTGAAATAGTATGTTCCTCAAACCAGAATTTTTAATTGTATGTACTTTTTCTTTGAGCTGTCACATGTTGATGTTTATTTTTACAGCTAGGGGGCGCACAGAGAAATTATTAAACAAAGAAAAATGATGATTCATTGTTTTACGAAACGTATTTTCCAGTAAATTCGTTGTACGATTTACATTTATACATGTTCTAATTTTACAACTTCGAACGAAATTTCAGAATCTGTATATACATGCCACGTATAAGTTATTCTCAGGATACTAAATACATCATTAAGCGATATAAATTGATTTTGATTTTTCGTAAACCGATTTAGAAATATTCAAATCATAAAAATCATCAGACAAGACGATCGATTACTCATGCTGACAATATCAATTCTAGAATCATCCAACGTCGCAGTACAAAACTGATGTAATAATTTTGGAATTAATGAAAATAACTTTGAAAAAAAAAGAAAAAAAAAATTGTACTACATAGTCAAGATGTATTTAAATTATATTTAAAATTAGGCACTAAAATAAGTTATATAATTTAGTGCAATAAAAATTATATAATTAATTACTTTCGAGATAATTCCATTGATATTACTTACCAAATATTTTTAGCGAGACTGAATAAAAACAGTATTTTAATTTTTTCAGTCGTTGATACCAACATTTGAGTAAAAAAAGCAATTAGATGAATCATAACTATAATAGATTAAAATTTTGTTTATATGATTGTTTTACATGAAATACATGACAATTTCAAAAACAAGCATTTACTTAAGATAACTATTTACAATGTTAGTTTAATAGTTCGTCATTAACATCAATTTTAATTAACTACATAATTTACCAATGATTACAACAAATAATTAGTGTCAAATCAAAGAAAAAAACGAAAAGCTCACGCAGACATTTAGAGCTAAACTCTAAGAATAATGTAAATATTTACCTTCTTATTATCGAAACGCGTTTATAGTAAAACATGAAACTTTTATTACTGCTTTTCTCATATGAAATAAATCGCATATTATTCTTAAAAGTAAAGTATAATTAGAATGGCACAGCGAACGTTTAATATGATCCTTTTTATATATATTTGTATATATAAAAAAAAAATATAACGTAACTCTCACCTTAATTTTAGTATGTTACTAAATTCTCAATACTAAAATAATTCTCAATACTAAAAATCATAATATGCATTACTCATGTTGAAACTTCATAAAGGCTCTGCACACACGTATTTTTATAGATTTAAAATACTGAATGGAAAAAATGTTCGTAAATTTTCTTTGTAATACATCTGTAGTATTGCGCATTACGTTACATTAATATTTGGTTTAGAAAATAATAATAAATTAAAGATACATGTCTCTCATATAGTTTAAATATATACAAGTATACTTTAATTAATACTGTAAAACAGGAAAAATATAATGGCTTAATGCTGGATTTGACGTTGATTCAAAACATCAGCTCAGTCTAATCAAAAATAATTACGATGACAAGAGGGGAAAAATCGAAGTTATGGAATTTGATCACTGTTAAACGCGCTTATTTGTAAAGACTAGTTGCACCAAACAGAATGAATATTATATGAAATTATGTTCGTAACTTATAGAAATTATCTTCTTAAATTAAATGTAAATTACATTTCTTTTAATTTTATTTTCTATCTTTTACCAGTTTTATTTAAAAAATCAATACAATATCAGTCTCAGTTCTATTCAGTGCCATCCAAAAATAATTAACTTTCTTTGTATGTCAAGAGTTTGCCTTTCTGTAAAAAATTAGTTAATAATTATAATCATACAATCGAAGTGCTATTGTGTGTGTGGCCTTGTTAAAGGATGCTTATTTTCAGCTCATCTTATTTGTGAAAGTTCTTACACAATATTATAATATGCAAAGGAATATGGAAGTGAAGAAAACCTTATTCTTATCTCATGCATGTTCAATTTATTCAAAGAGGATTTGCATGTGTACAACAGAAGATTCATACACTATATCAGAAAAAAATTTATTAAATATGAACATTTTGAGATAGTATTTGACTTCCGGTGAAATTTTTAAACAAACTACAGAAAATATTAGGAATTCTTGATACGTGTACATAAGCTTCATTAGACAACAAAGCGTCTATCTTAATAATTGATTTTCAACTCTGCTTTCTTGGAATCTTCTGCGTGAATTTAGTACACGCGATGTGAACATAGGGTGTTAGGAGTTGTTTTATGCAGAGAAGCATTCTGCATTTCTTTACGACTACACACACAACTTACACACGAATTCTCAATACAAACTAACCTACTCTTAACTTTTCAAAACTTATAAATATGTTCATGACCCTTTTGTGTTCATAACCCTTTAAACGTCTTTGTCATACATCATGACTGTGAAATATAGCTAAATAAGTAATTCAAAACTAATTAATAACGCATTCATCATTTTCTTTGACAAAATCCTAGTGCTGGAACTAATCGTATCAATTGCCTGTTGTAGGAAAGATCTAATTTAAATCTAGAAATGTCTAATGAAATATTTGCAAGCGGTTCTTATTTATCTTAAAATAACATCATTCTTATTTTGTAATGTTTACATAAAATGAATTTAATAAATGGAATCTGAAATATTGCATTTGTTATTTTAAAGGAATTTAGAACTTGCTTAAAAAAAAATTGAACTGCTCATTAAAAGTCATTTAAAGCAGTGTACAATTTTTTGTCATTAAAAGATTAGATTTACTAATACCTCATTGAACAAGCAATTGACACGAGAAAAATTTGTTTCTTATACTATATAAGTTATGAGTAAACCGATAAAGCGAATATTTTGGTAGATCTACTTGGAGTCAGTCTCCATTTTGATCTCCTCTGTTTTTTTATCCTTTTTTGAAGCCTCACTATCTGTCCCTTCTCCGTTACTGTTGTCGCGTCTTCGTTTTCTAGCATATCGGCCCTTATATTTAGGTGGTGGAAGTTGTTCCATGCCCAAAACTTTATGAATTTGACGAAATGCAACCAATCGTAAAGCATGTTGAGCTGAAGCAGTTATATCTTCTCTTTGTTGGGCTGTCATATTGCCTATTGCATCAACTGGTTCTTTCTCGCATGGATCAGATAATCCTATAGAAGAACATATTTATAACCATAATATAATTTCATACAAAAAGTATCAAATTTTAAAAAATATATAATAAAAATCAGATTGCCAATCATCTACGCCATACTGTGAAATTTCTATAGAGACAAAAAGATCGAAATACTCGATCTTAGAATCTACCATAGATTTCACAATACACTCAGTTTCGTCATCTGGATCATCATTTTGTTTTATAATTTAGAATATAATCAGTAACTAATCATTAGTTATATACAATAAATCAGTAATATATTACGATGTATACCTGGACTTCCTGGAAGTAATATTCCTCCAGCGACACATTCTAAAAGTCTTCTTAAAGCTTCACCTGGACTGAGAGGTCCTCCAGCGGTGCTTATCACTTTTTCAGTTAATAATTCTAGTGCCTAGAAAAACATTAACATCTGTTTGTTTCTATTTATTTCTTATATTCTAGCTGCAAACTGAGGCTAAATCTTGCCAGAGTGCAAAAAAAGGATTTATACTAAAAATTCTTGTGCGAAACGGATAAAACTCTTCGTCATTATTTAAGACTATTATATCATTTTGTTTTATTTGTACTTGTTTAATTAAATTATAAAATATATAATATATATTTGTGTTATAAAAATAGTTGTTCCATACTAACCCATGGGTTTAATGGTCCCCAAGTGGGTACACGGTTACAAAGATCACGCATTATGCGAATAACCATAACACAGCTCTGCAGTGAAGTTGCTCTAGCCTGTTAAATATGATTAATACTTTAGTACATACAACTTTATACACAGGTCAGTGTGTCTCTGAGCTTCCTAGAGATGCGACGTCCTAAACTACTTTTAATTTGCTTTGTGTGGGCTTTAGCTATCCTCCCAGCCTCGTGCCTATAGCTCCTAAGATATTAGCCCATATCAAAATTATCGGGTGTTTATTAGGTATTTCCTGAACAATTAATGCCTAACATAATATTTAAAAAAAAGTGCAACGTATCAGAAAAACTGTACACTTGTCGAACTGCCAAATATAACTATTAAACTTATAACTGAAAAACACCCGATATACTTATGACACCACTGTGTGTTTGTGCTTGTCTGTCTTTCAATATTTAACAGTGCTTACAAAGCACATACGTAGAAAATATGAAATAAAGTACATATTTATAAAGAGAAATACACTAACTTCAAAGACTTCTAAGACAGACCTAGAACAGACTCAGTCTAGGCTACAATACGTTAACATTAATCCAGAATAATGAATAAGCTTGATCATAAGCATCATAAAACAGTTTAGTGCATTATAAACAAAACAAATAAAACTACATCCTTTGAAGAAAAATTACGTAGTTTTAACACGTAGTTTTCTACAAACAGTTTCCTATTATTCTGGATGTTGATGATTTGAAGTAAAGCAAATGTAAATGCTTTTGACGTGCATTAATATATTAAATGCCACAATTCACACTTACATAATGCTTAAACTTCTTGTCTGAAACTATCTAATCGCACGTTCGATGCATTCTGTTTCTGAAATTATGCTATACATATATTTCTTCCTTTTTGATTTCCTTTTTCTTTTAATCAAAATCTGCCAATAGTAAAATGTTGCCATTACCATCCACTTACAGTAACTAATGCATAAATTATAAATTGCAAATGCATAATGCTTTGGCAAAGATCTTTGACAATTCTTGTTAAATATAATATTGATGGATATAAAGTGGATCGGCAAACCTACCAAACTGAAGCAGCAAACGTGATCAAATAAACGTTTCAGACAAAATCATATCAACAAGAAGATAGATAGTAATAAAAATAAAATTGTCACAAGGCTGGAAGTTCTAAGACTGCTCTTTTTTGCGGACAGAGAGAGAGGACAACTTGCACGCGTTCCGCGCATTAGGAAAACATAACAGAAAACAGTCATTACTGCCAACAAAATGGCACTGACAAGTTCGAAATCTTGAACTGAGAGTTGATTGATTCAAACCTGAAACCACTTGGCATGCCTGAGTGCAGCTAAAGCCTCCAAACACTTAGCCTTGGGAAGTACATCGGGTGGATCTGGTTTCGTCACAGCGGGCGCCGCGGGCGTTGCTTGCGGTTGAGCAGCTCCCTGTTGCTGTTGTCCAGCATTATCTGAGATTCCAACAAAGAAAGCACAACACGCTTAGACAACACTTAGAGTGTTTGATCATGCCCAACTTGGGTTTTCCCTCTATATATAAATTATATTTTAACTCAAGTACATTAAACTTGAGAATATAGCCTAAAATATTTTTATTTTGTTTGAAACAAAAATAAACCTAATCGAATGTAGTACACGACAATGGTGCATTACCCCTATTCTTGAACGTCCTTTTTTCCGCATTACAAAAGAACGACCGATGTTTCTTAATGAAATTGACAGCGTTACTCAAAATGAAACGTTAAAGTAACACTATCAAAAGAATCGTCGGTTAAGAAAAAGGAGTTGACTGCACATTGTATGTTATGCGTACAGCATTCGATAATAGAGGGTTCTCTTTAAAATTATTAATGCATGATCAAAAAGTCCATAGTTTTAAGATTGCCTCAGCGTTGTTTCCTCATACCAAAAGCGTGTCCACGTTTGTACTAGCATATTCTCTGCCTTAATGGAGACTCCAGCTTAACTATTATCGACAGAACTTAAATGTACTACTACAAATTAAATTAAAACGAAGAAAAGCGACGTCTAATCGTATCAAGTTTACGCTCTCTCTTTTCCGTTAAAAAATGGTTGTTAATGTGTCTCTATCTACGCTCTTATAGTTTTTAATATTAATACTTTTTAAAAATGTAAATTATACTTAGTCGTGGACACACTAGATTGCGGCTGTATTGAAAAGAAAAGGAATTTTGCATGTTAGAGCGTATATACACTGGCAACCGTTGAAGTCCTTGGCTGCCCCTGCATCATCCTGTTTAAAAGAATTTACAAAGAAGCTTTTGGGCCATGAAAAGAACAAACAAAATTCATAAATCACATTATTCAAGAAAATAGCATGAAAATAAAAGATGCTTTCTATATAAAGTCTCTAAAATTATCAGTTATCCTTTTCTTGGCCACTATGAAAATATAAAACAATCAAATCACCTGCAGCAGCAGCTGGTTTAGGCGTTTCGCGCATTAAAGGACTGGTGAGTGTTACGCTAACGGTCACGCTGCCTCCTGAAACAGTTAATGCAGCTGACTCTGGATGCTTTCCAACATTGTAAGTATCTTCTGGAGCTACAATCTTTAACTGTGCTGGAAGTATCTCAGCAACTTTGTTTAACAGTGATCTGTAAAGAGAATATGTACATATGAATTGTACATAAGATATTTCAATACAAAGATATGGTTTTATACAACTAACCGTGTTGGTTTTTCTGCACACAGAACCACAAGACAAACGTGATTATCACCAGACAATAGAAGTCCCTTTGCTAAATTGCCAACACGCATTACCCCTCTCAATATCCTTGAATCTTCTTTTTCTTTTTGAAATGAAAACAGATTACCATCGCTGCCATCTTCTTTTTGAGGTGTTGTAGTTTTCTTCTTATCTGGATCTTCTTTAATCTTTACCATATCTGCGTTTTGTTGTGGTTGCTGCTGTTGAGGTTGTTGAGCAGTTGTGGTTGGGGTCGTTGGTGTAGCATTGGTAATAGGTGGTGTTGTTTTCTTACCTGCAATTATATTTCAAAGATATTGTAACTACGACGCACGACAAAAAATTTAAAAGAGAAAATAATAATTACCAGCTTCTGCCAATGTATCAGACACAAACTTCAAAGCTTTTTCAGTATGAGAAACAATTTTTTGAACTGCCAGCAGTTCCTGCTCTTTAGGATAAATGGTAGTATGATGAGCTAATACATGTTTGTCATCTGATGAATCTGGCCTCCTTTGAGGGCCAGGAAACATCATCATTGGTGGTGGTCCCGGGAAAGGACGTGGCATCGGTGGAGCTCCAGGTCCACGTCCGTAGCGTCGATACCACTCATAATATTCGCATTCTTCTTCATAGCGTCGTCTTTCTTCCCAATACATCATTTCTTCATCCATCATTGGACCCATAGGTCCCAATTGATTTATTTCTTCTCTACGGCGCAAGTATTCATCTCGCATTTGTTGTCTACGTAATTTTTCTTCTAACATTTTTCTTTGCTTCAGACTTGGTTTCATATCAACAACTAAATCAGGATTAACCTTCTTCTTATAAGCGAACCTATGCCGTCTTCCTTTCATATGCATATCTTTGGCATTGGGGTCATTAAATCTGCATTCGCAAAGCTTACAATTAAAGCTTATAATTTTTCCATCTTCAGACTTGTTCTCCTCTATATATTCTTGACCAACTGGTTGAATATCTTTTTCATCAACAGCTGCTTCTTCAACAGTTTCTTCCGCCGCAGCCTCTTCCGTTTTTATTTCCACGGTTTGATTCTGATTTACAGTTCCCAAATTTCCAGCTGTAAATATTATACATAATTATTGTCTATTACTGTCATAATGTTTGTAACATATTGTATGTATTGTTATATTGTTTGTAATATTATATTGTTTGTAATATTGTTTATATCATATTTGACTATGTAACCTAACTTAACCCTCGTGTATCTGTAAAAAAAGGACAGATTACTTACAAGCAACAAAGTTAATCTTAGGAGTAGCCGTTACTGTTGGCTTCTTAGTTCCTGTAGTTTTAGCTGCCGCTGCTGGTTTTGGATTCAAAACAGTTGGATCTGCGCTCGGTATCGGTTTTCCAAGTTTAGTGTGTAATTTAACAACTTTTTGATGTTTAGCTCCCCTAATGTGAGCAGCATAAGCATCATTTCCAGTGCAAGTGACATCACAAAGCTCGCAACGTAGACTGTTGCCTGCTCCACGTGCCGGTGGTTGTTGCGGTACTTTCAGAGAGGCTTCCTTCTTCTTATGTTTCTGACCCTCCAGATGCTCACGGTACGTTTGTGGTCCGGCACAGCTGATCTTACAGACATCGCAATAGTGTAGTTGTTGAGGCTTAGGGGGCTGCTTGGGCCGCATTGCCTTCATTCCTCCCCCTCCAGTGCCAAATCCCTTCCGTCCGTAGCCCTGCCAACCTCCAGTCTTCTGGTTAGTCGAATTGCTGTTTGCGCTCTGTTGGGCTACATACATAGTCGCAGCGCTATATAGCGCTGCGTCGTAGCCGGAATACGTTGTACTCGCCGTTTCTAAGGGAAATGAAATTGAAACCTCAAACTTTGACTGGAGGAGTCAATCCTTTGTATTCATGGAACCATTCTACTCGTACCCATCAAAACGAATACTTTATTCTTTTGATGAAACATTTATCAAGTATATATTGTAGAACAATCAAAAATCTTTACACGAAGTCAATTTTGTAATTTCAGAAAGCATCAATTCTGCTAACTTCCAAACCACGTCATCGTGGTTTAAAATGTTGGCAGAATTCTGTTATATCATTCGTACATATCAATTGAATAGCCAGAGGATCAATTTCATGTTATTAGTGCCTACGTCACGGTTAGCAGGACATTTACACAGGATTTTTAATCTTGGCGAAAGACATTGACATATACATATAAATAACATACATGATTTAATGAAAACTTACTATTTGTAGCTGTCGATGGTGTAGCCGCGGGTGTAGCAGGAGCTGTATATCCCGAAGAATAAGTAGCACTTTGAGTAGGGTTAGACTGTTGGTAAGCTGTGCTCGAAGCCTGGTAGGTTTTTGCTTGACCAGTTGTAGTAGCTTGCCTCGCGGTACCCGTGTATGCGCTGGTTGTACTGTACGCGGGCTTTGCAGCTTGATAATGTGTCTCTGTAGTAGTATAGGTTGCTGCAGCCGCAGCAGGCTGCTGATAGTACGTCTTAGCAGCGTCGTATGTAGCTGCTGGTGCAGCACGTCCGTAACCGTAATCGTATGTCTGAGCCACAGTACCAGGGTTAGCAGCTGTAAATAGAAAGAGTTCGTGAAGCTCAAAATTAAAAACACGAGGACACTAAATAGTGGATTTTTCTTGTGAGACAGGGGAAAGGAGGAAGATACGAACGTCACTGAAATCAACTCACCAGCGTATGTAGTCCCAGTAGCAGCTGCAGCGGCGGCCGCTTGGTACGTTTCGTAACCTGTGGCCGCGGCAGCAGCGGGTCGTTGCGTGTACGTAGCGGCGGTCGCCGCCGGAGTTACTGCGTATCCCGCTTGACCAGTCTGATAAGCGGCTGCGCTGGTCGCTCTGTTTCAAAGAACAATAGGTTTTGCTTACACACAAGGAATAGAATGAGAAATGGAAACGGGCAAAACGAAAAAGACCTCTATCGGATCCGTGCCCGGGAGAGACGCTCGATGGACGCTCTACTCTCAGCAAGAAATGGCGGCCAAGCCGGCTGGGCTCTCGCGTGCACCGATTTTAACGAACAGTTATTACTCCCGCCAACGTAGTTACCGTCACGAATTTTCGAAAAACTTAACACTAACTACTTAATAATTATGGTATGCAATCGATTTCGTACCCATATTGCGTTCCGCCGTGAGTAAACCCAAAATAATTGTTCTGCGCCATCCTTCCTCGCAGAGAATCCCGGAAAGAAGGACAATGGAGGAAGTTGTAGGGCGTGCCACGAACTCGATAGAATGGCGGCGCTGCCGCGGCTCCTATTGGTTATTCTGTTGGAGCCGGGCGCAACGAATGCAAGAATGCTGCGCCCTCAGTGGCCGCTTCCACGAGAACTCTGCGTCGTCCTCCGACAAACTACCTCCGCGCAAATCAACGCGCTACCGTACTAGCCAGAAAAACTACCGCGAGAAAGTATTCACGAAGCGGACAGATTATATACGGTTAATTGGAACTTAACTTACTGCGTGTTTCTTGTTATCTCCGTTATCCGGTGTAGTATGTAGTTTGCGTAATTTTCGCGGCTGGTGCGTGTTGCGGTGAACGTCCAGCGTGCGCAAGAAAGGGCTAGTTTGCCGGCGACGCGTGCGTTCAACGAGATATTTTTCACGCCATCTAGCAGTAGCTGCATCTATCGTTCAAAATTGAAGCGCTCTCTAGTAGGTTTTGTCACAATTCCGATGGAATTCCCAATTGCACAATCAATTTGAAAGGAACATCATCGTTCAATACGTAATATACGTATATATTGAAGTATTGTTTCCTTTTTTTTTTTCAATACGAATACGAATACAACGGTGACAACATGCCGCCACAGTTAGCGAAGCAAAAGCATGCGAGATATTTCCAGAGGTTATTGCAAATCATGCCCAATTCATACGCAGCAGAATTCGACTGCTCTAGACTTGCGGTAGCCTTTTTTGCTATATCAGGATTAGATGTATTGAACTGCCTGAATGATCTTGGCGAGGAGACGAAACTCGATGCGATAAACTGGATCTATAGGCTTCAAGTGACTGGTGCTGGGCCACGTTCTGGTTTTCAACCTTCGACAACAATACCAAAGGATACTCCAAAATATCAGTGTGGTCATTTGGCAATGACATACGTCGGATTAGTTACTCTTCTAATTCTCGGTGATGATTTAAGTCGAGTTGACAAGAAATCCATCATTGAAGGAATGCGAGCTTGTCAGAATCCTGATGGGTCATTTACAGCTGTTATAATAGGATGTGAAAGTGACATGAGATTTCTTTATTGTGCCTGTTGCATATCTATAATTTTGAATGATTGGTCAGGCATCGACAAGACAAAAGCAATTGATTATATTCTGAGGAGCATTGTAAGTTTTCATCCATTTCTCTCTTCATTTCTGTATCAAGAGTATTAACAAAAATTGGCTTTGTTCGCTTAATTTTATCATAGCACAATATCTCAACAATGATTATAGTCGTATGATGGAGCAATGGGCCAAGGACCTGGTCTTGAGTCGCACGGAGGATCCACATTTTGTGCAGTAGCTAGTCTATTTCTCATGAATGAGCTTCACAATGTATTGACAAATGATCAGTTAAATAGACTAAAGAGATGGTGTCTCATGAGGCAAGACAGTGGCTTTCACGGACGACCTGGAAAATCTTCTGATACTTGTTACAGTTTTTGGGTGGGTGCGACTCTGCAAATGCTTGATGTTAATAAATTATCGGATCCAGAAGAAAATAGAGCGTTCCTGCTTGAAACTCAAGATAATGTTGTGGGAGGATTTGGAAAGTTTGTTGATTGTCTGCCAGATCCCCTTCATACCTACCTAGGTAAGTGCAACAAGTATCTATAAAATTTATTTTCATTTGATTTATTTTATTTTCTATAAAATATCTATGAAACATACAATACAATTTTTTTTTTTTTTAGGTCTATGCGGTTTAAGCCTCTTAGGAGAGGCTGGTTTATGCATAATGAATGCTGCCCTTAACACTTCTGACCGAGCATATAAACATTTATTAAAAATACATGAAGTATGGTAATACAGTTCTTACAATCTTATAAAGTATTTGCAACAACTGAATATCATATCAAACGCACAGAGTTAAAATACAAAGGAAAACTAATGTTTTTTGTATCTTATTATGGATCCTATTTGTACAGTTCTCACAGATTCTCTGTGCCTAGAACCGTTATTCTAAAAACGTCAATTAACGAGAATATTATGATTTTGAAGTATGTTATCAACTGTTCTGTTTTAATGAAGACACTTGTTGAACACGTATCCAAAGCGCATACTGGATATAAGAGGAAACCCAATAGCATAATTTAAATGCATCTTAAAATGTCATTGCGTATATATAAATTTTAAAAATTCTATATAAATTCTAAATAAAAACAAAATAAAAAATATATGCAAAGAGTATTTGATATCCTCCATCATACTATAAAATTAATAAAATTACTGTTGTCTTTCACTTTTTGTGAAATTGATACGATTAACGCAGTACTTTGTTCGAAAGTGCATTGTAGTGTGCTATCGTTAAACGAAAGAGTTTCGTTCAGTTAAATTCTGTTTTCTCGTATATGAAACGACCCCGTCGACGAGCAAATGTATACTGCAAAGGAGAAAACTTGACACTGCGAGGTTGCCCGAGCGTAGCTGCCACATGCGCCCCACCTCGCGGAGCGATGATTCCATGGTAACCGGGGTGGGTTCGCAGATCACAACAGACGACGTTCGTTTGCTCAGTCGAAGAGACTGCGAGGTTCGAGAGGTGTGTGTTCTATCATCGCCGGTTGTAATTCTCATCGCGCACTTGTGCATTGTGTTCAGTAACGTTTCTAATTCGAAGAAAGAATATTTTTCCAAAATTCACATTACATCAGTGGGATCTTTCACGCGCACGAAAACAAAGTGGAAACGCAAACGAAACAATAGAACAATATCTATTCAACGATCATTGGAAAAGAGAAACTTAACGTCATTGTCGAGTGTTGGAGGTCGCGTTCGCGGCCTAGACATCAGCAGAGGTTAGTGCGCGCCTAAAATTTAAATTAATTTAATACGAAATAAACACTGTTTTATCCTCCGATCGAGAATGAAATCGTTGGACGATCGTTCGAACGCGATTTGGGACAGATGTACATCACTTATCGTCGGATAGATACGTGATCTAAAGCTAAGTTCCACATTTATTGGAGCGTACAATTTCACATAAATATTGAATTAAGAAAACGTTATTCAGAGCTTACTTCGAATCGTCATGTTTGTAACGACGTCGCGTCAAAAGTTTGCAACTATCATCGAAGCAAAACTGGAAAATGGAAAAAGTACACGATGTAATACATATTTGTATTTAAAGATAAGTTAAAAACTTGGGAACTCAAGAGGTAAAAAACTCGCGGAAACAGGAAAGAGAATATGTAGTTCTCGTACCATTGTCGAGATCCTTAACGTGACACCGAGTCACGTGAAAAGGAAAGTTACGGACAACAGACGATGGAAACTGAATTTCGCAAAACCGACGAGTCCGCTTAATTGCGTCAGTTGGTCATGGCTATACGGATGAATGCGTGTGTACCTTAATTCCTTACATGTGCATTTGTCACCGTGAAAGTGACACGCGTGTCAAGAGAGGAGCGATACGCTCGAATACGAAAACACCGTGTATATATTTAGAAAATAACGGCCAAAGCGTATCCAAGGTATCGCAAATTAATCGATTATCAGTATAGCGTGAAATTTTCCACAGTACGTGATTTTCATCCATGCAGCCGCACATATCTTTCAGGTAAACAGAGAAAGGGGGTCGGGACATCGGGGGAGGTGAAACAGTTTTTTCGGCTTGACGTAAATTGCGCTTCAAACGTAAATCGATAAACAAAACGCGTTGACTCGCAAATAGGCAACCTTAACGAGTAACCGCGCGATGAATGAGACTATTATACAACGAGCGTTCGCCGTCATTTCTAATTAATGCTAGCACAGCGGTATGTTTTTTTTTTCTCTGTTCTCATATTCTCTGCAAATTGGTCTCGTATGCGTGCTCGCCAACGACCACGGCAACTTCATTTGCAGTACTTAATAAACTGATTCACATTCCATCGATCAATCAATTTGCTTGAATCACGTACTACATGCATATAACGTGCACACGTATAAAAATGTTGGACGATCTACGTAGTAACGAAATATGCCTTGTAGCTTTTGGAAAATCAAAATATTTGGAAATGAAGTTTAACATCGCTAAAATTAAAATGATTTATAACTTTTTGCAGTAGTATCATAGATAGTTAAAAATTCGTAAGATGACAAAAGAAGATGTCGCGAATTGTCTCAAATTAAATATTGAAAATAGTATTCAAATCCGAAATAAATTGTCTGATGCACGTCCAATGATCTAAGACTTTTGCTTACTTATTTTCCATCGAGACGATTTGCGCCACGCACTAGTATTTTTAATATTAATAATTGAAATAATTGTAAATGTTAGAAACAGTGGTTTTTTTTTTTTTTTATAAAAAACACTCGACAGATTGGAATTTGAAATTTCTAGACGCTATTCTAAGGTCGAATGTATCCTCAGCCTCGAGCAAGCTATCTGTTTAAAATACAGGCAACGACGAAAATATGTATGTACCTCCTAGAGCTCCGAAGGACATGACACAAATTTCGGACGCACATTCCTCACAAAATTTCGTATTTCACTATTTGTTTTATTGTCAAGTAAAACATCCCTTCGAATGTTGAATATTTTTTCATAAGCTACTCAATGGTCCTTATTATAGACACACAGATGATACAATATAGAATGAAATGATTTCATTATATACAACATTCATGCGCATTCTTTTTAATACCATCTGAGATTATTGAAAAAAAAAAAAGAAAAAAACATTTGCACGTAGTCTAAAAAGAAAAAGCTAAGATAAAAAGCTTATACTAAAAAGTAATCATTCCGTAAGAATTACATCTCGATTCTGTTGAAGTACATATGTACTCTGTCCGTCGAACGAATATTGAGAAAAACGAGGATATAATCGGCGTTCGTTAGAATCGACGAGGGATTGCAGGGAAATTCACCCGCGAGATAGGATAAAAAAAAAAAAAAAAAAGAAAAAATAGTTGAAATTGGATACGATCCCTTGTGTGCAATCGGCAAGAATCGATATCCAAAAACGACCAAGCGGTCGTACGTGAACCTGTGGTAAGTCGTATTTAACACGTTCCGTGCCATGTGTACCACCGGTGGTACACGTTAAATTTGATC